ATGCGTGACGCCCAGGCAGACGTGCCCTCGGCCTAAAGGCTTCGGGCGCAACTTGCGTTCAAAGACTCGATGGTTCGCGGGATTCTGCAATTCACACCAAGTATCGCATTTCGCTACGTTCTTCATCCTATCTATTATCCTATCTATTACAAATCTAATTATCCTATCTATTACATTTTTAAGGTATTTAAATGCCTCTCAAATAATTATAAAAATTAACTAAACAAATATAAGAAAATTTGAATGAACATTTAAATCAAATAAATAAAGCGTATAAAAATATATAAACACATAGAAACACGTAGGAGCACATAAGAGTACGTAATTGACATTTAAATAATAATAGGGGTACCTCCCTTTTGAAGTGATGACTAAATGGAAGTCAAATTGCCCTATTTATACTCAAAATGAACAAAAGAATCATGACACCAATTTAATTGAAAAAAATAATAATGATAAAAAATAGTAAATTCACCTTAAGATGTCAAATATAAAGAAACTTAAGAACATCTAAAAATTACAAGTTAAATATATTCAAAAGTAACACAATTAGCTATTAAAGAAAAGAAACAATCATAATAAAAAAGAGTCAAAATTCACTAAGGACAAAATTACATAATTGAAAAACTTTTGGGGTCAAAAATATAATATTCTCAAAGTTTAGGGTCAAAATTAAATAAAAGACAAAATTAAGGACCAATGTGCAATTAAGTTAAGGACCTAGATGAAAGAAATTTAAAATATTTTGGGACAAAATAAAACTACTCCAAAGATCAGGGGCTAAAGTGAAGATTTCGATTTCTGCCTTGGGTAAGAAAAGGCCATCGGGCCATCATTTTATTTACTTGGACCGAATACTACCTAAATCCAGCCGAAAGTCCAAGCCAAACCACACAGGCCAGCCCATCTTTTATCACTCAAACCCAACCAAAATAAAGAATGGGTCTAACCTTCTAACCCAACCGAAAATAAGAAACAAACCCACAAAAAAAAAAAAAAAATTAGCCCAACCCGTTTTCCTTTTTTTTTTTTTTCTTTTCTTTCCTTTCTTTTCTTTTTCTTCTTCTCTTTCTTCTTTCTCCCTCTCTTCTCTACCGAAAAACTAAAGCTTCCTCAAAACTGGCAGCCATGGCGGCCTCCGGCGGTTCCGATCATCGAAATTTCTCAAAATACACCCCCTCATTCGATTTTTCGCGTAGATTCTATTTCCAGAGTTATTTTTTACAAAAAAAAAAGAAAGAAAAGTAGTCAAATAGCCAAAAACAGTTACAGTTTTGCTTCCTCAAAATCACTCAAATCTCACCCAAAAATTGTAAATTTTATACCAAAACACTACTTGTGACTTCTACAATCCAACCATAACCTTAAACGAACCAAAAAAACCCCATTTAATTCAACTTTTCATCTTGGCATTTTTTCAAATAGTTGGCATGCATACATAAAAAACATTTCCTTTTCCTCAATCTAGTTCATGCCATTTCCCAAATTTCAGCAATACAACAACAGCAATAAAAACCAGCTAAAGCAAGATAAATTAAAACCAGAATTTATCTAATATGCTTTAAAAAAAACTAGAAAATACCTCAATGAAAGTGGAATTGCCGTGGCTGAAGTTTTTCTGATGCCTGTGAGTGTGTTGGGAAAATATTGGGAAAGAGGAAAGGCCGAGGGAAATTTTCTTCTTCTTCCGTGTTTCTCTTCTGCGTTCGAAGACCAGAGAGAGTCCCCATTTTTTTCTTTCTTTTGTCCATTAAGAGCCAGCCGAGAGAGGGAGGGAAAATTTTTTCTTCTTTTCTGTTTCTTTCCGCTGCCCAAGTCCAAGAGAGGGAGAGAGTGAGGAGTAAGAGTGGGGTGTTTTCTTTTTTTTTTGCTTGTCTGTTGAGGGAGAGGCCGAGAGATGAGTCCTTCTTTTTTTGCCTTGCCCCTTGAGAGAAAAGAAAGAGAGAGGGTCGAGAGTGGAGTGTGTATGGGGTCTATTGTGTGAAGTGAGCAAAAAGGGGGATATGGCCGAGAGAGTGAGGGAGCTCTCCTTCTTTTGTTCTGTCCTTTTTTTATGTTAGGAGCGGCCGAGAGATTCTATTGGGAAAAAAAGTAAAGAGTTGGTTTTTTGTCAGTCCAAGGTTCAGGATGGAGCCGAGAGATGTGAAAGGGATTTAGTTTCTTTCAAATCATGGTTTCTTTTTTTTTTTTAAGATAAACCTACAAAAATGAGACAAAATATACTTAAAATGTAAGAAAATAAATGACTCATCAAATAAAAAATATTCAACAAAACATAAAATTTGACAAAAATTTGGTGTCTACAACTTACCCATCTTTGTGTAGAGTTTCAAAAAAACTCAAGACAAAGACATAGACACCAAATTGTTTACCTGTCTCTTCTAACTACTCCTAAATTCAAATAAAAAGCCAACATTTGGCTATAATTATTGGCCAAAAATGATGCAATAATGTTGCAAAACACGTGACCGAACTCATGTAGAGTTGTCTACGTATCCCGCCAAGGGAATCGGGTCAAACGTAGTTCGAATACCAATGAACCACAATGAAATAAATGTATTGACCATCTGTGATCTTCGCAACATCGAAAAAATCTGAGCTCCCAGAACTTCTAAACATGAAACACAAAATGAATGAGAAAGCACAATTGTTAATCCAAATAGTTAAGAAAAGTCAACTATTATAATTAGAAAAAGATGCGCGGAGAGACGCGGTTACGCTTCAAGAAGGGGGATAGGAGGGTGCGCGGTGGACGCTAAAACTTACCAACAGGAAATTAAATTTGATCTATCAAGAAGAGAGGTAGAAGGGTGCGCGGTGGACGCTGAAACTCATCAACGTAAAATTAAATTTGATTGGTTTTTTTTATTTCTTTTGATATGTCAAGAAGGGAGGTAGAAGGGTGCGCGGTGGACGTTGAGACTCACCAACAAGAAATTAAATTGTCAAGAAAGGGGATAGAAGGGTGCGCGGTGGACGCTGAGACTCACCAACAGGAAATTAAATTGTCAAGAAGGGAGATAGAAGGGTGCGCGGTGGACGCTGAGACTCACCAATAGAAAATTAAATTTGATCTTTTGATCTGTGAAGAAGGGAGGTAGAAGGGTGCGCGGTGGATGCTGAGACTCACCAACCGAAAATTAAATTGTCAAAAAAGGAGATAAAAGGGTGCGCGGTGGACGCTGAGAATAACCAGCAAGAAATTAAATTTAATCTTTTTTATCTAGATTGTTCAATGGGACTGAATCCAAACCCAGATGCTTATCAAGAGAATGAAAATATCCTCGAAACCTAGATAATGGGTAGGATTAAACTCGAGCTCAAATAACTAGCAGAAGAAATGAAAACACAAGTTCTATGCTATCGAACTGAAAGATCAGAATATATGTTGCTCAAAAGGTAATAAACCAAGTCAAACTTACTTGGTGGACTTACAACTTTCCTTGATTTTTCAAATTTTAAAAGAAAGGGAATAATGATTTTTCTTTCTTAAAAAATGTACAGCAAAACTTGGAGTTCAATCCTTCTACCATTTGCCCAGTGTGAATCATGCTTAACTAAATCAGTGTTGTGTCACGTAAATTTTCCCGCAAAAAAGAACAAAGGAAAAGAAACAACTGTGATGAAAACACTGCCACCACTATGTGATCCTCTTGCCTTGAGAACCATGTAAACATGAGTTTCAATATTGACAGATCGCTCCCTTAGGTTCGGTCAACAAGCCCTTTAGAATCTTTGCAACTGTCAAATGTCAATCGACCATACTTTATTATCATAGGACTTTCAATTTCATGACTCATTTGGGATAAATTATAGGGGATTGTCTTTTGAATGAGATCCAATAAATGAGAAATATAAATAATTAAAAAATATATTATTTATCATGCAATAATGCTGATATAAAGTAAACAATGATACATAATAAATAAATAAAATAGTAAATACAATAGTAAAACAAAATTGTTGAACTTATGAACATGGTTGGATACATATCCAGAAGATGGCTTTTGATGAAGAAAAATGCTCAATCTGACCCATTCGACGTCATCCATTTGGAATTCATTGTCAGCAAAAGAACAACATATGAAAGAGACCCAAATTAACATAGTCACCAGTTTTCAGACCTCAGCATCTTCTTCTTCGTTACTGATCCTCTTGTATTCAAAAACCCTACCTTAGCGCCTTTTCGGGTTTTTATTAAGATTTCCCCTACCTTTTTCCTTTTTTTTGGAAGGTGGCCTTTCAGGTTTTCACCTTGAGACATAGACAAGACAATTTTAACCCCCAACCGTGTCAATTCAGTCATATTTTGGAGGATTTGTGGCATCAGTGACATAATCATCTCTGAAATATTTCAGAAAAGTTGTATTTACATCATTTGCCAATTGATTAAGAAAAATTTTCCTCAAAGTACTGCTAAAGATGAAAGTCGGCAGTTTTGGCTCTTGTGATTAGGATCGGATAGAGTAGTAAATGAAAGGTTAAGACTTGAAAGACTTGACAGCAGATCATATAATGGGTTTGCAATCATTTGAGATAGCATTCTTTCAAAAACTTGCTCCGATCTAGGGGTTGGAAGAGATAAAATTTTGCCCCAGTTTAATTCTAATTGAACTTCTCTATTTTTCTTTTCCTTTCTTTTCTTTTTTTAATTTTCTTTTCTATTTCTTTCTTTTTTTTCTTTTCATTTTCTCTTTTTTTTTTAAACCAAATTGCCCCAATATAGGGTTAGTGATCTTAAGGGACTGCCAAGTGAAAAAGGAAGGTGGTTATAAAAAGTCAAAAGGAAAAAATTAGGGATAGAATATTGAAATGGAAAAATGAGAGGAAGTATGCCTTAAATCGATCTCTTGCAGTACTTTTAAAGAAAAAAATATTTATAATCAAATGAAAAATTTTTTGCACATGTCTGCATTGATTGGTTGGAGAAAAACTTGACCGTCCATTTCCATAAGAAAAAACATTCCTCCGGATAGCACTTTCTTAACAATGAATGGTCCTTACCAATTGGGAGCAAACTTCCCTTTAGCCTCCTCTTGCATTGGAAGAATCTGTTTCAACACCTTATCTCCAACTTCAAACAAACGGGGTTTAACTTTTTTGTTGTAAGCTCGAGCCATTCGTCGCTGATAACATTGCCCATGACAAACGGCATTCAACATCTTTTTATCAATTAGAGACAACTGCTCATAGCGTTCCCTGACCCATTCAGCATCTTTTATCTGAGCTTCCATTAAAATGCAAAAGGAAGGAATTTCAACTTCTGCAAGCAATACTGCTTCCATTCCATACATAAGAGAGTAAGGAGTTGTTCCGGTAGAAGTCCTGATAGTAGTTCTATACGCCATCAATGCATAAGGCAGCTTCTCATGCCAATCCCGGTGTGTTTCAGTCATCTTACGAATGATTTTCTTCAAATTCTTATTTACGGCTTCGACGGTTCCATTCATTTGAGGCCTGTAAATGATAGAATTTCGATGTCTGATCTTGAACTGTTCACATAATCCATCCACCATATCATTGTTGAGGTTTTTGGCATTATCAATGATCAATGTTTCCGGTACCCCAAAACGATAGATATTATTTTTCAAGAATCCGACACCACTTTCTTAGTTACATGCTTATAGGATGCTGACTCAATCCATTTGGTGAAATATTCAATTGCCACTAGAATGAAACGATGTCCATTTGAAGCAGGAGGATCAATAGTTTTGATCACATCCATCCCCCAAATCGAACTTGGCCATAGAGCAGTCATACTATACAATTATGTCGAAGGAGAACGTATAACATCACCATGTATTTGACACTTAACACACTTTCTAGCAAAATTTACACAGTCATGCTGCGTGGTAAGCCAAAAATATCATGTTTTCATGATCTTTTTAGCCAGTAGATGCCCATTCATGTGTGGCCCACAAATTTCACTATGTACTTCTTTCATCACATAATCGACTTCGTTTTCATTGATGCATCTTAAAAGGCCCAAATTAGATGTTTTCTTGTATAGCACTTCTCCATTCAAGAAAAATCTTGATGACATTCTAGGTAAGAAACTTTTTGCAACAGAATCAGCATCAGGAGGGTAGGATCCCGTTCTCATGAATTCCTTAATATTATTGTACCAAGAGTGAATATCAGAGACCCTTTCTATAACCAGACAATTGGCTGGCCTATCTTGAAATTGAATCTGTATAGGTTCAATCACCAACTTATCTGGATGTTGGATTATCGAAGACAGAGTAGCTAAAGCATCAACAAAGGCGTTACGAGTGCGAGGAATATGTCTGAGTTCCAAATTCCTAAATTTGCTGGCCAAGCCAAGCAAGTTACAATGATACAGCATAATTTTTTAATCCCGAGTTACCCACAGCTTAAGTATCTGGTGCACAAGTAAATCGGAATCACTGAATGCTATCAGATCCTTGATCTCCATGTCCAATGCCATTTTCAATCCAAAAATACACGCTTCATACTCGACCATATTTTTGGTACAAGAAAATCATAATTTAGCAGTAGCAAGATAGTATTTCTCTTCAGGCGACACTAAAACTACTCCAATCTAACTCTAAAAGAATTCGATGCACCGTCGAAAAATAACCTCCACCCAAGATACTGCTCACTCATGTCCTCAACTGCTCTAATGATCAAAATTTCTTCATCAGGAAAATAGGTATGCAATGCCTGGTAATCATCCTCTCTTGAATTTTCTGCCAAATTATCTGCTATGACTTGTCCCTTAACTGCCTTTCATATTGTGAAGACAATGTCGAACTCGGAGAGGATCATTTTCCACTTAGCCATACGTCCCATGGGCATCGACTTTTCCAACAGGTATTTTAGAGGATCAGAACGAGAAATCAAGTATGTGGTATAGCCGAGTAAATAATGTCTCAACTTATGAACTGTCCATGCTAAAACGCAACAACTTCTCTCAAGAAAAGAATAGTTGGCTTCATATGCCGTAAATTTTTTATTCAGATAGTAGATGGCTTATTCCTTTCTCCCAGACTCATCATGCTGTCCCAGAATGCATCCAACAGCCTCATCAAGAACAGACAAATACATAATCAGAGGTTTCCCTGGCTGAGGTGGCACTAAGACCGGAGGATTTAACAAGTAATTCTTAATCTTATCAAAAGCTTGCTGACAATCTTCATTCCAATCCATCGGCACATTCTTTTTCAACAATTTGAACAAATGCTCATAGGTAGAGGTTAACTGTGCAATGAATCGGCTAATGAAATTGATCTTTCCAAGAAAACTCTTCACATCTTTTTGAGTTTTTGGAATAGGCATATCTTGAATTGCTTTTATTTTTGCAGGATCTATCTCTATGCCCTTTTTATTGACAATAAACCCCAATAACTTATCAGCCAGAGCTCCAAAAGTACATTTCGCAGGGTTCAACTTCAAATTATATTTCATCAATCTTTCAAACAGTTTCTTTAAATCAACCAAATGGTCCTTAGGGTGGCAATTGGGTTCAAATCAGGTTGATGGGTCGGATCATGGGTCGGGTCCTGATCCGATCCATCAGAAAATCTGTTGACCCGAACTCCCATCAGAAAATCTGTTGATCCGAACCCAACCCATCATGGGTGACGGGTCAGGTATCCTGACCTGAACCCGAAAGTTTCCGGTTGGTGGGTCAAGCCGGTTGACTCGAAATTACCTGAAATTTAATTCCCAGTTACTGATTAATCAGCTGTGATTTTTAAAAGAATCAATTTCAAACTAAATTAAGACATCATAAGAGTAAAAATAATGTAATACATCATTTACCCAAATTACTAAATACTCTACCACCGTAGAATAAGAAATAATCAAGAGATGACTAACAGAAATTTAAACATATGTACATATATACATAATTGCTATACATAGGCTTTGTATGGACTCATAGTATTCTTTTGAATAATTATATTTATTCCAGTCAAAGTATGTGGAATATATTGACCGTATTAGAATAACGAAATTATGTATGGATAGTTAATTTCTCTAGAATTCGTTTTAGGATTTTTGTATGGATTGTTAATTCTCCATCCCAAATTTAACATTTTTTTTAAGTGTAAACTATTGAACCACCTGTTGTAGATAAAACAGGTACCATGCCGCTAAGACATCTTATTAATTTCCAATCGGAATAGCAAATACAAAGCCAGTGCTTGTAATCGGCCAGACAACAACCCTGGTACCATCTAGCACACACAATCTTAATACTAATAGAATTATCAAGGACTTGAAATTAGATGATATCTGTACTTGTTATGTTCAGTACAGACCATACACAGACACACTAACATTAAAGCAAGAGCATTGATATTTCTTTCCTACTGCCTTCGTCTACCACTTCTGTAGTCATTCCACATTCCATTTGCCATTGTATCCCTCATTTCATGCCATTCATTCACCTCTTCTTGCGAAGCGTGGAAGGGTTGGATTTCTGGCCTTGGTGGTACCCCACCTTCTCCGTCAACTTCCATCTCCTGTTCGTGGTCATTGAAGATGTCGTCCTCCGGCAATTCGTCCCGTATAAAATTGTGAAGTGTGCAACAAGCGATGACAACATTTATTTGTGTAGTCATATAAAAATTTGGCACTGGACCACGCAATATGGCAAATCGTCTTTTTAGCACCCCAAAACACCTCTCAATTACATTCCGAAGCGCTGAATGGCGAGTATTGAAAAGCTGCTGTGGGGACGTGAAACCTCGTCGTCTTTCAGGCTGGTGTCGGGGTGTACCACGATAAGGTGCAAGAAATCCAGGAATATTTCTATATGCACTGTCAACCAAGTAGTATTTCCCTACCATGACATTTATTGAATGGGAAAAAAAATTACTTCGGAATAGGGAAAAAATAAGCTTGTAAAAACCATAAAAAATGATATATTATTATATAAGCCTTTCCACCTGACGGAGCCATTGGAAAATGTGTGGGCCCTGTTAATGCTCCATCCAACACACGTGCATCATGTGCACTCCCTTCCCATCCAGCATAAATATATGTAAATCGCATATCAAAATCACATATGGCTAATACATTCTGTGTTGCTTGGCCATGCCTATTCATGTATGCGACTTGTTCCCCAGGCGGAGCATGTGCTGGAATATGAGTCCCATCCATTGCACCTACCGCATTCTATGCATGAAATAAGTGAGTTAGTTGCGATGTCTGTATTAGCATTATCTATGGCAACAAAAAATATTAATTGAAGGAGTAAAGGAACGATTTGTAATCGTTAAGGGTATGCATTACGAAAAAGGTGAAAAATATTCGTACCATAAACCAATTGGCGAATCTTCGATCCGTATAAATCTTTGGATGCACATTATTTTGGCCTCTGGGTCGAATAAGATGTTTTCCTAATTCACAAATACCTCTAAGGACCTCGTGAATGTTCCTACATATAGTTTCCGGGGAATGCTGAAATCGTTCAGCAAGTGGACGCATTCGATGGTTGTGGCTTAACATCACCAATGTCATGCACAATGCCTCTTCTATTTGTACTCTTTTCTGAGGGTTTTGCGGGACGTATCCTCCACTAACCAAAATTTCACATAGTCGCATGAAAGAGTCCACTGTGAGCCTACAATTCTCAAGAACCCTTGCTGGATGTCCATTAATCACTTCATGGACATATGCTCTTCCAGATAACATGCTATTTTTGCACGGTAGTGGTAATATATATCCAGCAGCTCTCTCAGCAATCGGATTGAAAAGAACAAGAACTGCCCATTCAATTAGTTGCCAGTCCTCATCCTCCTCATTTTGGTCATAAGAAGTTCCCCAACCAGTCAGATGCCTATCCATGGGGTTGCCCTCTTTCGATAGAAACGGCCTGTATGGAATTCAAAATGAGAATTTCATTAGACGATGCAAAAGCATATTAAGAATTCAGGGTGAGAAAAAGATCCCATTTTACATAGACTGATGTGATAAGACTACTCGGAATAATTTGTGATACATTTACCTGCACTGTGAAACGAGCAAACTTGTGTCTTGAGCAACGAATCGGAATATGTTTCTGAAAGGTTCTATGCATTGAAAGTTGGTGGCCGATATCAAGTATGTAGAAATTTATAGGCAAAGTAGTGATACAGTGTGGCTGGCAGTTATGCAAACGAATCTCATGCAATCTTACTTTTACACTTTTAACGGGTCCGCGTGGGAACATTTCCAAATAGTTTGTATGACAAAGTACTTCAAAACTGTTGAGTGTTCTCAAGAAAATGAGAGAAAAAAAGTACTTCAAAACTGTGTCTAATAAAGCAGTACAATTTTGTTACACTATAGCTAGCCATGTGCATCGTCAGGCACTAGTGGTGTCAACTGTTGAAGAGCATGGCTAGGGACTGAAAGCTGCTATCACTACATTTTCAACAGCCAGAAGGCATGTGAAAGTAGGAGCAAAACCTGCAGTCTCTATATTTTTAGCAGCCAGAAGCCATGTGCATACACACTTTAAGCAAACCAACAGCCTTATTTTTGTCCAGACTTCAGTTTTTTCCAGACTTCAGTTCATGTGAGTAATAAATGAAAAGGTCAGGGAACCTTGTCATGTCTTGTTGATATCAAATTTAGGCCAACGACATTTGAATGCAAAGTGGGTCACTTGTAATAATGACATATTCCAACCAAAAACATACAAGACAGTAACATCTTTATTAATTCATTTCTCTATTCCTAAAAATCCATTCATCAAAATTTATTATGAATAAATTTCATGTACTTGTTTGCAAAAGAAATATTCAATAAGTAGACATATACAGTTACACATATACCTGTAGTGTAATCTGATATCCATGAAAGCTGTATATTTATATTTAAATACAACTATGGAGCTATATGCATATAATTTTTGTACATTTACATATACATTAATAGAATTCTATATCTATATATAATTATATCTATACATACATGGATACATATATATATCTATATATTTATATATGCATTTATAATTATATCTATCCATCAATCCATGCTATATAATTATACTCAGGCTGTATGTATATCCTGAGGTCTCGACAACTATCCATATAATTGGCATCTAATAATAGTTATGTGCATCATCCACAATATACTAATACTTCCAAACAAACGAGCAAGTATTAAAAGATTCTAAACCTTCTAGGCTTCACATTACAACACGTTCAAATATGAACCAATACTAGGTCCCTGCTTCAAATCGAAACAGTGCTCAAATTTCACATGGGGCAGCAATTTCATGCCACAGTTCCCCCAATTCCATATCCAAATATCACGTAACTCAGTTCAAATTTCACAGAATAGCAACATACATGCCGAATGCCTACGATTGGTGAGACCAAATTACAAAATTGCTCACCAGCTATAAAGGATTCAGGGAGTGCCAGAACATGGCTATTGTTTGGGGTCTAGGAATCTAGAACGGTATCAGCATAATAATACTGGAAGCTTTCGTCGGATTGGAGGAACATTTGACACCATTGCTCACTCTTTTCAAACTGTTTCATGCAGGCCAATCGTTTCTGTGACCAGAGCTTAACAGGTTCATGTTTTGGATAGCTCTTATCCCAAACCTTTAATGCAGCGACACACCACTCGTTACGTCGTTCATTTGCTGCAATCTTCATCTGTGAAAATTGGCTGATATGGGTGGCTGCGTCTCTTAGAGCATCTCCGGTCTTCTGAGATTTAGTACTTCTAGATCCATCATGTGATGAATTCCCTAGGCTTGCTGCAGGTCTCTTACCAGGCCTCTTTGAAATGAATTCAACCTCATCATCGCGAACAGGGATGTACACATCCTCTCCCCAGAAGTCAGAGCAAGGTTGATCGAGTTTCGCCTTTCCCTTGAGCCTCGAACATGTACCTGCTGTCTTTTCGGCAGACCACGGAGAGTGGTGGACATCACTTTGAGCGGATGACTGGGCATGTTTACCGGTAGCTGTGCGCCCCTCCAGAATTTCACTCAACTCAAAGAAAATACCACAGCTTCGACCTTCTTTGAACCGTGCAAAGAACTTGTTTTCCTGCCATTCAAATAGTTACTCACTAGTATTAAAAGCAATGAAAAATTATAGGTATCATAAATCATAGTAGTTAAATTTTAGACAGGTCTAGGACAACCAAGATTTTTTCAATTACAAGGGAAAGGAAAAGGGAATTCCAGTAGTATTAAATCGAAAACTCTGTAAACTCAGATGCTAAAAACAAGACAAATCCATCTTATCCCCAGCAATCCTCTTTGAAATAGGAACACACAAATGTGAGCTATGCAATTTAAGCAATAGCAAAGGTTCAAATTGAACAATTTGCTATCAGTATTTCATTAGTGTGGTCATTGAGTTATATCAGCACATTAGGATGAATAGCAAAGGTCTTAAATTAGGCACATAAAACAGTTTAAACATCATAGCCAGTGACACTAGATCCATAACTAATGTTATATTTAAGCAGCAAGGAAAGAAAAGGTTGTCAAATAGGCAAAGCTGTTATGGATATTGTCCATTAAACAAGTGCAGTAGTAGACAACACACTTTCCAAATTTAAATGTAAAAGGGCGTGGAATACATTACCCTCTTAAGAGCACTCCACTTTTCCTTAGTAGCTTGAAAGGTCAGAAGGTCGGCATTCCACCCGAGTCCTGTCTCTGCAGTTGATCGAGACATCCCAGTTAACCGAGTGAAACACTTCCATTCAGCTTCCAACCTATAAAACTTGGATCTGTACTGCTCCCATTTAAGATTTACATGGCACTTGTCATTCATGTGCAAGGCCAAGTGAAACCAATTTGACCTGCCTTTTTGCAGCTTATCCCATGCACCATTCCTGTGCCACTTCACCAGTGTTGCAACAAAAGTTGGCTCCAAAGTGAGGTGATTTTTCCAATCAGCTATTTCGGAATCATCATTCATCTAATCGACATATATACATAACTGTTGGGTTAAGGAAGGACAGCCATAAAGCACAAATGACTTGAAAATAAGGGCTGGCAATTGAAAGTAGGAGTATCAATATACCTTCAACAAGTAGTTTCTTGCACAAGCTCCTAGATCGTTTGAAGCGGCCTCGGAATATGACTGCTGGACTGTAAAATAAGTAAATTTCAATGATGTATTGTCATATTAGGGACTAAAAATGGTTTACATTCAAATTAAAAAGTTCAGCTGAAGTTTGTGATAGCTATATTGTTTGAAAATTAGGCAATCGACCAAATCACAAGTACTATGTGCTAAAACAGCGATTAGGAATACAGTTTCCAGGGAATAAACTTATAAAAATATAACAATTAGTTGAATGGCGATGCACCTCAAAGTAGTGCATTCAATTGGGTCTTACCGCTGCTCTTAATGACACGACGGCGTTTATGGCGCATATAAACGTGTGAAAAAGGACAAGATCCGTGGAACAACTGCGTTCCAGAGTAAGGTGCTGCACAAGTAAATGAAGAACTTATCCTACGAATGAGACATTCAAATAGAAAGTACTAAAGTCCATTCCTAAAATACATTTACATTCTAAAGAGTAAAGGATAGGTAAAACCCCAACATGAAGGGGGTAGGGTATAAGGTTGACCAATAGGCTAGGTAAAAGATCCAAAATGCAAAGTTCCAAACAATTTAGCAAGTTTCCAAGAATCTGGCGGACAAATATTTTCTGTCCCATAACACATTACCCAAATGAACTAATGTTAATGCAGCTTTTATGTTAATAGTGTCCTTTTTATACGGGTGTAAAGCCATCTATACCAAAGAAATAAGCTAAATACAGAGTAATTGCATTAATTAAGCAAATTTCAGCTCTATTCCATGCTATTTTCAGGTTTTGCTTGGATTATATACCAAATAATACATTATTGACAAGTTCTTATTCAGTTAACCACTCGAACCTCTTAAACCATCTACTTTGTCCGGGGAATGTCGTACTCTAACCAAGTGGTAGTAACAAATGGCTATTTTTTTCTCTCGATATTTGTTTTCTAAAAACGGTGAAATTACTCACCATTGGCTCCCGACAGTTGTAAAGGAAAAAAAAACCCAAAGACGTAGAACCCTAACTTTTAACCCCAACTACAGTAATTGCAAAATTAATCTGCTATTTGGAGCTAAAAAAAACCTGCAATTGCATAGCCCTTTCCTTGAACACCAAAAACAAGGCAGAAATTTATAGAAGGAGATGTACCTAAAGGAAAATTGTTGGAATCCTGCTAGATGGTCAAGGGAGAAGGCCGCCGATGCAAAATGGAAGCACCTCTCTTCTCTGTGCTCAGTGTTCTCACACAAACATGAAGCAAAAACAGACGAAGGCACTACTATCAGATCTGGAATTGATGAAGCAATTTTAAGGATGATGCGAGACGCCTTCCTTACTGTATGTCTACTCTTTTATGGTAGATGAATCAGGAAGATGGAGATGTTAAAGTCCGGAAGACAGGTACAGAGATTTGGGAAAGAGGTTCTGAGTTGCTTGCTTTATGGAACCACTTTATTGTAACGGTCAGAATACAACCAACGCAAGTGTACTTGTTTTATCACTTAAAATTTAGCCACTGTTTTTTTGGTCAACTTGGTCAATTTTTCCAATATCTTACTATTTAGAAAATAGAAGAAAGGAAACTTTGAGTCCATACAAAGCCATAGTTTTTCTGAGGTAAGAGCCTGAGCAAGGAGATTTCACTACCCAAGAAAAATCGTAATAAATGTAGGTTGGAAAGGCTAGTAATTGATTTCCGGTGAACATTTTACCGAAGAGACTTTTTGGTGTGTGTATGTGTTAGAAAAAGAGAGAAAAAGTGGAAGCGGTTATATAATGTGGTTAAAATG